TTTAATACGGATCTCAACAAAACGGCAACGAGAAGCGCAAGAAAAAGAAAGAACAAGAAAATCTAAATCACCAACATACTGATAGGGGAAAACTTCTCAGATACTTTTCAAGAAGCGAATTTAATAGACTCCAAACACACGTGAGAAGGCAGAGATGTAAAATCCAGAATAGATACAATTTGGATAGACAAGAAATGGAAGAAAGATACAATAAGAAAAGAAACAGAAAGCATGGACTTTTTTACAACAAGTAACTATTGTATCATTTGGTGCAGAATAATTACAGGTCTTAGTATGTAAAGAAGAAGTACAGCAAGAACAAAGAGATTAGGCAAAACAAGAGTTAATATAGATTTTGAAAAAATAAACAGAGAAGACTAGGAAGAATACAAGGTAAAATTGAATAAAGAAATTAGTAAGAAATTAGAAGAGAAAGAAAAAGAGAGAAAGGGAAAACAAGAAAGACAAAACCTATATAAGGCAAAATAGCAAGAAGCGAAAAAGGTTAAAGAAGAGCAAATAGAAGAACTATGAGACATTATAGAACTAAGCATAAGAAAGGCAGCAAGCTCAATACTCTTAAAGAAGACAAAGACACCAGAAATCGAAAGAAAAGGTACACTACAAGAAGATTTAGCTAAACAAAGGAATAATATATAGAAGCTGAGGAACTGGTGTAGCAGAATTAAGAAAAACAGAAGGCTAAAAAAAAGATGAAAAGACTATTGAAGAAGTACAAAATCTAATAGACAGAATACAAATAAGGTAGAAGCTAGAAAAAGTTAGAGCTAAAGAGGAATTACTAACCTTTTGAAAGAAAAAATGAAACAGAATCTCATATAAAGAGGCAGAAACTTGGTGGAAGATCTTATACAAAGATTGGAAGAGACGAAGAGAGAAAGCAAAAGAAGAGGAAATCTAAGATTGTATAGAAGCGAGATATGGAATGATCATAATGGACCAAAGAAGAATGATCAATAGCCTACTCAAAAGATCATACCGAAGCATCAAGATAGATTGAATTCTTAAAGAAGAAAATGAGAAAAAAAGCTCTTTACAGAAGAAGAAGAAGTACTAGAAGAAGTAAAGACACATTTTGAAAAACAGTTAAGAAAAAAAAAAGTAAATCCTAAAAAATTAAATGAAAATTGGAAGGAAATATACAGACTGATCGAGGGGATCAACATGGAGAACTATAGAGAATTAGAGCAAGAAGTGACAGAAGAAGAATGGGAAGCAGCCTTAAAATATATGAAGAACAAATCACAACAGGGCCTACAGGAATTACCTACCCCTTCTCAAAGAAGCAGTAAGAAAAGCAAAAGAATTATTCAGAAGCCTGGCAAATCAGTACTTAGCAGAAGGATACATGTTCAAGAAATAGAAGCTAGAAATGCTGTATCTAATACTGAAAAGAGAAAACTGGTGCTATAACCTGAATAACGTAAGACCAATCCTACTACTAAAAACTTTCTGCAAAATAGTAGTTAGAGTTCTAAACAATAGGCTGAGTAAAATACTATGAGAAAAAGAGATTCTGAAGGGTAGAAACTTCGCAGGCCTACCAGGCGAAAGAATAGCAGCACTAATACATCTAATTAATTGCCTGTTAAAAGATGCTAGAGAACAAAAAAAAGAGATATAGTTGCTCTTCAGGACATGAAGAAGGCTTTCGACTCAGTCAGTATAGAAATGCTAAAAGTAGTACTAGAAAGGATCAAACTGCCTCAGGCTACGAAGAGCTTTATCTTGCAGCTCTATCACAGAAAGAAGATGGAGGTCATAACAAGTGTAGAAACCACAGAAATATTTGTTGCGAAGGATGGTATAGACCAAGAGGAAGTCATATCACCTCTGGTCTGGAGAATATTCTATAACCCCCTGCTGGTAGCAATTCAAAAAAGAAAAAAAGCAGGTCACCGAATGCTAGTAGAATGACCGATGAATATTAGAAGCAACATGATCTAACAACAAAGCCTAAAAATAAAAGTAATAGTATATGCTGATGATACAACATACATAGCAAGCTTTAAAGAAGATCTAGAAAGAACAATTGAAATTGTGAAAGAGTTTTATAATATTAATGATATAGAAATTAATATGAAAAAGTCAGAGTTACTAGTTATTAAGCCAGAAAAGAAGCAAGAGAAGGGCAATATAAGCATTAACTTTGGTCCAACAAGAAAGTAGTAAAAGAAAAGAAGGAGAAAGACTCAACAAGATTCTTAGAAATTTGGCTAGCAGTGAAGAATGGAAGTAAGCAAATTGAGAATATTATCAAAAATAAAGTATATACGATCACAAAGAGAATTAGCAAAAAGAAGGCTTTATTAGCACATATAGTATACATCAACAATATGGTCTTTCTACCAAGAATAGAGTTTAGAGCGTAGCTAAAAATCTTGCCAAAACGGAGGTGTGACCAGCTACAAAGCCCTATATTAAAAATGCTTAAAAACAAAGCAGGAATAGCAAATACCACACCGAACTCACTAGTAACTCACAAGAAAATAGTGGGGCTGCAATTGATCTGGCAGCAACAAATTGCACACCACTTCACAGAACTGCTAGTACGTTTAAACAATGAACAAGAAGTAGAAGAGGCCACATGGCTACAACTAAAGAAAGCTCAAATCGATCTAAGAACTTACAGATGCATGCTAGAATTAGATAAAAAAGACCTGAGCAGGTCCAAATTACAGAACAATCTAAATATACAGATCCTAAAAGAAGCTAAAAAACTAGAGATTTCATATCGGTCAGGAGAATTTGAAAAGAATCTCAGACTCACAGAAAAAGGAACCGAGATCACAGACATACTAACAGAAAAAGACAAGCAGAAATTCTTTTAATACAAAAACTACAACATTTTTATACTAGAACAATTGCTTAGTTGAAAGGTATGATTCTTTTTTTTCAACCTGTCAGATCTATTTTCATTCATTGTTATGATTATTTAGGACACACGGATCGAGTATGGTCCGTTGCTTGGTCTCCCAATGGAAACCTCCTTGCCTCTTGTGGGGGAGATAAAACGGTTCGTTTATGGGCTTCTACTTCTGATAAGGAGTGGATATGTACCAATGTATTAGAGGGAACACACAAAAGGACAATACGAAGTATTTCATGGAGTCCCGACGGGCGTCAACTTGCCACTGCGAGTTTTGATTCTTTGGTCGGTATTTGGGGACAAGAGGAAGGAGAAGGTATTAGCAACAATCAATACTTTAAAGTGATTTTGATTGTTTTAAAATTAGAATAAGGATACAACTGTTTGTATTCTCATTGTCTAGATTATGAATGCGTTGCTACCTTAGAAGGTCATGAAAATGAGGCTAAATCTGTTTCATGGGCAAAATCCGGAACATTACTTGCAACATGTGGCCGTGATAAGAGCATATGGATATGGGAAGGTAATAATATTCCTATAAAGAATTTTATTCTCTATTTTTCTATTTTTATCAGTATCACCCAGAAATATTCGGAATGACGGTCATTTAGGGATTGAAATCAGTCTAGGGATAATATGTTTAGTCAACTAATTAGTCAAATAACTAGATTAATTCAATCCCTTAGGGGTCACCATTGGTAATAAAAAAAGTATTTTTTTTATAATTTTTATTTTTATTTTATTTTTTTTTTTTAAAAAAAAAAAAAAAAAAAATTAGGAATTCTCTTCGTTTTTATACCAATGATGACCCATTCCGAACATATATGTTGAACAATATCAGCAAAAACCGAACAAACTTTTTTCACGGTTATCACGGCTGCTGCCGATATCGGCTGATGTTAAGATTTAAGAGGTCCTAAAAAAAAAAAATGGACCCAAAAAATTTTAAAATTTTCATATTTAAAAATTTTCATATTTCGGCATCAGCCAATCTCATTATCAACTATAACAAAATATTTTTTATTCATAAATACATATTTGATTTGCTTCATAATAATTAACCTTACATTAATTTATTTAGTGGGAACTGATAATGACTTTGAATGTCTGAGTGTTCTTCAAGAGCACACGCAAGACGTAAAGATGGTCATGTGGCATCCAACCAAAGAAGTAAATATTTTTAGATTTCTAATTAGATCAAATTTAGTATACAATTCATTTTATTTTTGGAATATTTATTCGGAAATTATTAAAGATATTAGCATCAGCTAGTTATGATGACACAATTAAAATTTGGAAAGAAGACGACGATGATTGGTACTGTTCTGACACATTAAAGGGACATGAAAGCACGATATGGGCAATCGACTTTGATAAAACCGGTGAATATTTAGGTGAGTTTATATAGTAAGTTAGAATATTGACAAAGTCTTGATAATAATTATGTTTATATCCATACCAATAAATAGTATCCGGTTCAGACGATAAAGCGCTTAAATTTTGGCGTTGTTTTCCTCCAGATAATCGAGAGGGCATAATTACAGATCGAAATGAACCAAAATGGAAATGTATATGTACTTTGAGTGGGCATCATCAACGATGTATTTATTCAGTGAGTTGGTCAAAGGTTCATGGACGTATCGCTAGTAGTGGTGGAGATAACACGGTCAGGGTGTTTGAGCAGGAAGAAAGCACAATTTCTGATGACATGACAGACACAACTAATTTTTCAATGATCGCATCAGTCACATCAGCCCATGGAGTCGTAGATGTCAACTGTGTGCAATGGTATCCTACCGACAAGCACCCTAATTGGTTAGCCACAGCTGGGGATGATGGAATTGTTAGGATATGGCAATTGGTTGAAGAATAGTGTTCAAATATGTTAAATAACTAGATCTTCATTTTTTTTTATTTTTTTTAAAGGTTATAGGTTGCATTTATACGTATTTATGACCTTTTCTCTCTCTCTTTTTTTTTTTTTTAATTGTAATAATTTATTTAGACTATTGTACCTATTCTAATAATTCGATTGAATAATGTTTGTATAATTATATATTGCACACATTGATACATGAATTATATGAATTAATAACATGTGATCTATCATTTAAGAGTTTAATATGGGCATATATTCATCAACTGTAATCCGACCAACATAAAATAATACGCAAGCGAGAACGAAATTGAGAACGGCAGTAACGGTTGCAAGCATAAAACAAATATCAAATTTGACACCATAATAAAATCTATCCGATGTGTTGTAAAGATGTGCGATTAAAGAAACAGTTGAAAGTTGAAGTAAAGCTAGAATATGTCAAATTGTAAAATGTTTGATTAGTTGATAAAATAACACCAAAACTAAAAAATAGTATATATTGATTTTAAAAATACTAACATGTAATAAAAATAGCACCAGAAATATATTTCCAACCATTTCGTTTGAGATCTCTACCGATGCTACCACCAACAAATAATACATAGAGTAAATAAAAAAATGTTACACCACCAACAATGCTTGCAAATATCATATCTGTATTAGCAGCACTCCATTCTTCACAAAAACCATCTTCAAGACAGTCATCGTACTCATTAGATGGGAAATCTCGACAACCATCAGGGTCAAGAATTGAACATTTCTGTTTAGTTTATGATACAAAAAAATGATTAATATGCCAAAATGTTAACATTAATACTGTTCATTGAGTGTTTATTCACATCTCATAATAAATTTTCCCAATTTGCTAATTTGAGTGATAGTGCCATGTATTTCACCTTATCGAATTCGATCAGATTCCACGAGATTGGTTTAATCCTTTTGATAACCTTACTTATCATTATTACATGAATTACATGATAAATTTTTAAATCATATCACCAACTTATTATTCTGACAAAACACGTTATCGAAACAACTAGAGTACATATTGTTGGAATCAATCTTACATGGATTGAATCCAATAAGATGAAATTTCACTAATTAATTTACGTTCCATCACTCATTTTGAAACCTCCAATCATGTAATTTTGATCAGCGATATACAACGATAACACGCAATTAAAATTCAAAATTTTCAGGATTTGAAAGCTCGAAGTCACATTTTCCCTCGGCGACACTCATTTATAGTAGGGTAATGCGTAGGTTTTTAGATTTTTACTTACATAAAATAAACCATAATTTGTTAATGTTCGGTATGGCCTTGGACTTTCAAAGAGTAACCTTTATTTGAATAACAAAAAATAAAAATAGTTTAAAAATTAATAAAAAATTAATTTTGTCTATTCTATAATATTATATACATATATGTTGTAGCTCACATATTGTCTAGCTTTAATTCAAAGTATCACTTTTTCAACGTAGACATTCGGTCATAATTTAGGTAGTGATCACCTAGCCGATTAAATTTGGCTGAGTAAAACGTAGGTAAACGAAAGGTAGAGATACAACATATATAAAATGTAAAATAAAAGAAGCTGACCATTTCGGTGTTAGTAAGGCAAATAAGCTGCATATATTAGTACCCAAGAAGGTTATTGCGGCTAATGAGTAGTAGACGACACCAGGCATTTCTATATTATTTAAAAGTATTGCGTGTTTGTTTTTTTTTTCCTTTTACTACGTATAGTTTTTATTTTGAGTTCAATTTAACTTAGAGTTTGCTGTTAAGACGGAGATTTGGATACCTCAAATTTATACGCAGCTTTAGTGTCACGGTTTCAACTGATCTAAATGTTCGATAATCATTGTTTATAATTATTAAACATAAATGGCGCAAAGTTTATTGCACATATTAGGTTGAAAAGTTTGTACGTATCAGTTCGTTTATCCTTTCTTGTCAAAAATACTTAAATACCTGCTCAAGCTGGTTTTACGTATTACTTAAAAGCTAATTTGTTTTTAACGTTAACATTACGTATTGGTAGCTGCGTTTTTTTTTAGATTGTCTGGCATGTTCTATGTTCATGCATTATTACTGTATTAAAAATAAATTTTCTTGGAAACCCTGAATCACAGGATTTGAATTTGACCAATCAGATCACAAAAAAAACGACGGCTAACAAAACGACACTTCATTACAAATGTTAGATACTGCGGCAGTGTACAAGGGTTGGTCGCCCACCTTTGGTGGGCGAACCAACCCAAAGAAAGATTGTAAATTTGATTACCTCCCGTCGCTGCTCTACTGCTGTGCAGGTGGTCTCCCACCTGAAAGAAAAAGAAAATCTTGAAATTTCGGCTTCTACAGAGCGTGAAATTTTTCTTGGCAAATTTTGCTTACGCGTTAGTGCATAAATTCGTAAATTTGTGTTGGCCCAATCAGATTCATTTTATTTCGGAAAAGCATTAAATTTTAACAAAATTAGCCACAAACACCGTAGTAAATTTTTAATCTGCGCTCTATACGTATTAATAATTATAAAAAAATTAATTTTGCTTCGTTTAAATTCTATAAAAGCCGGATGTTTAATGAATGTCTATTATTATCAAGGTTGTAAATTCCGTAAGTTAACCGGTAAGTTACCATGGTAATTTACCGTAAGTTACCAAAATAGCGACTATGATAACTTACCACGGTAAGTTACCACTAACAACCCTGACTATTATACGATTTATAAATATAATGCAGGCTACAGAGCAAATCTTCTGACCGGTTTTGTTTAAAATTTAAACTTTAATAATATATGTAAAAAATTTTAATGTACTAATTAAAGTAATAACACCTTTATTTTTATACGTATCATAAGGCGAAAATTAATTATTAATTTTAAGAGTAAGTTAAGAGAAATTTAACAAGTCCAATTTTATCTGTACATTTGTTTATCAAAATCACCTTGCTTTTATAGAATTTAAATATGTTAAATATTACGAGAGAATTAAAGGCGAAGTAAAATCGATTTTTTATAATAATTATTTAATATAGAGCGCAAATACGTATGAAAAATCTTTATTCTGCACTATGTAATTAGATCGCCCAATGAAATACTGTATTATATAACGTTAAGTGTAGTGATTTGAACCGGTTGGGCTATAATCGGTTAACCGACCTGACCTGAATAAATTTTGAGTAACCGATGGAGTAAGTTCTTAATTGGTTGACCCGTACAACTGTTGATATAATGTAAATTGCATTAGCAATGAGCA